TTCTCCCTGTTTGCATGTATCCTCACGTGGCCTTTTTTTTTTTTTTTTTTTTTAACTAGGAGATGAAGTCTCACTATGTTGCCCAGGGCATAAAAGACCTGATCCATGGAAGTCAAAGCACTAAACTTTTTACCCAGGCAGGCCTCGTGGCCTGCACCTATAGTCCCAGCCACTCTAGAAGCTAAGGCAGGAGAGTTGCTTGAGCCCAGGGAGATGGAGGCCAGCCTAGGCAACAAAGCGAGACCTGTCAAACCAAATAAAATATAAAATAAAATCACTAAGTTTTTAGAAGAGGCTATCTGTAAGACTTTGGAGTAGGGAAAGTTTTCTTAAGGCACAGAAAATTCTAGTTATAAAATAAGATTAATAAATTTAACATTAAAATTGAGAACACATCACACCTGTAATTCCAGCACTTTGGGAGGCCAAGGCGGGAGGATCACGAGGTCAAGAGATCAAGACCATCCTGGCCAACATGGTGAAACCCCATCTCTACTAAAAATACAAAAATTGTGGCCGGGCGCGGTGGCTCAAGCCTGTAATCCCAGCACTTTGGGAGGCCGAGATGGGCGGATCACGAGGTCAGGAGATCGAGACCATCCTGGCTAACACGGTGAAACCCCATCTCTACCAAAAAATACAAAAAAAAACTAGCCGGGCGAGGTGGCGGGCGCCTGTAGTCCCAGCTACTCGGGAGGCTGAGGCAGGAGAATGGCGTAAACCCGGGAGGCGGAGCTTGCAGTGAGCTGAGATCCGGCCACTGCACCCCAGCCTGGGCGACAGAGCGAGACTCCCTCTCAAAAAAAAAAAAAATACAAAAATTAGCTGGGCATGGTGGCATGCAACTGTAGTCCCAGCTACTCAGGAGGCAGAGGCAGGAGAATTGCTTGAACCTGGGAGGTGGAGGTTGCAATGCGCCAAGATCATGCCACTGCATTCCAGCCTGGCGACACAGCAAGACTCCATTTCAAAAAAAAAAAAATGAGAACACAGGTTCACAAAGAATACCACAAAGAAAATGAAAGAATGAGCCACAATTTAGGAGAAGAGATTTGCCACATACATAACCAACAGAAAATTAATATCCAGAATAACTTTAAAAGATAAACCATTTAAAGTTTAAACACTTTTAAAAGACACATGGCCCAATAGAAAAATGACAAGAAACAGGAACAAGCGTTTTACAGGAGAGGAAATCCTAATCGTGATGATGTTATACATACTAAGTCAGCAGAAATTAAGAATCTAATAATACCCAATGTCAAAAAGGATTTGGATCAACAGGAACTCTTAATACATTAACATAATCTCTTTAGAAAACAATTCAAATCAAACATTTGTCTATATGGATACAGCACTTTCCACTTAGATTTATATTCCAGAGAAATTCTTGCACATAGATAAGAAGACACAAGAATGTCCAGTATGGTTCTCAATGGCAAAGACAGGCAGGAAAAAAGGAGGGAAGAAAGGGAGGGAGCGAAGGAGGGAGGGAGGAAAAAAAAAGAAATGAAATCCAAATACTCATCAACAAGAAGATAGATTTTAAATTCTGGTGTATTCATACCACCAATCACAGCAGTGAAAACAAATGAACTACACACAAGGGTGAATCTTAGCCATACATGAGTGGAAAAAATCAAGTTTCAGAAGACAATCAGCAGGAGGATTCCTTTGTCATGAAATAATCTAAATAAGTAGTTTAGGGAAACACACCTACGTGATTAAACTACTTCTTAAATAAGAGACTGGTAAACCTAAACTTCAGGCAGGTGGTTCCCGCTGGGTCAGGCAGATGCTAGAGTGGGGAAGAGGCACAAGGGCACAGTTTCCCTGATTTCCCTGGGTGAAGGGTTCAAATGCGTCCACTCTGCTGATACAATTCATGATTAACATTGCCTTTATTCCTTTGTATGACTCAACTGATACAGCCAAAAAATTCAGAGATGTTCTACACGCAAATCCAGTCTAGGACCCTAGAAGGCAAAGGCTCTGCAAACCTGCAGATGTGTAGGAGGCTAGAAAGAAATTACATATGGGGTTTGGGGTTCGAGTGTGCAGCTTTCCTACAAGCAGCAACGCTGAATGGGACATTTAGTCACAGGTTTACATCTCCTCTAAGCCTCCAAATGCACTAATTATTGCTACAATAAATAACGACATGATTACAGTGTGAGGCAGTTTTTTTCTACTTTTAGAACCAACCTATAGACAAAGCTCAGGACACTTAATGATAGCTTCAGAATACATTGTAAATGTCGTAAAACCTTACTTTCTTAAAAAAGTAATATAACTCTTCAGAATACATTATGTTAGAAAGCCTTAATTCCTAAAAAACATAACTCTTCAGACTGCAATGTCAATGTTACAAAACTTTATTTTAAAAAGTAATATACCCAGTACTTTGGGAGGCCAGGCAGATTGCTTGAGCCCAGGAGTTCGAGATCAACCTGGACAACATAGGGAGACTCCATCTCCAAAAAAAAAAAAAAAATTAGGCCGGTGCAGTGGCTCACACCTGTAATTCCAGCACTTTGGGAGGCCGGGCAGATCACGAGGTCAGGAGATCGCGACCATCCTGGCTAACATGGTGAAACCCCATCTCTACTAAAAATACAAAAAATTAACCAGGCGTGGTGGCGGCGCCTGTAGTCCCAGCTACTTGGGAGGCTGAGGCAGGAGAATGGCGTGAATCCAGGGGAGGCGGAGCTGGCAGTGAGCCAAAATCACACCACTGAACTCCAGCCTGGGCGACAGAGCGAGACTCTGTCTCAAAAAAAAAAAAAATTAAGAATTAGCAAGTTGTGCTGGCACATACTGGTAGTCCCAGCTGCTTGGGAGGTTGAGGTGGGAGAATTGCTTAAGCCCAGGAGGCAGAGGCTGCAGTGAGACGACATGGCATCACTGCACTCCAGCCTGGGCCACAGAGCAAGACGCTGTCTCAAAAAATAAAATAATAAAAAAGTAATATAACTACTCAGAATATATTGTAAATGTTACAGAAGCTTCTTTGTAAAAGTAACTACCATGAGATGGAAACAGGGAAAAATAAAAGTGAAGGGAGGGTAAGGGCGTGCAATTTTTTGTCCTTCATGGGAGAAAATAAATACCAACTAAAGTTGAAACATCAAGATGTGGAAATTTAATTAGGTTACTGAGAATTACAAGCCTATCCAGGAGGCAAACTGATGGGACCCTCTGCGGGAGCGGGGAGGACAGCAGGAAAGATGTATCCTTTTTCACCCCCGCCATGCCTCCTGGGGCGTCTGAGGTCCGCATGGCCAGTTAGTCACTGAGCAGCACCGGCCCTTGGGGCCTCCCGTGCACTCCACAGCCACAGCCTGGCCTCAAGAAAGAACACAGCCTGGCTTCACATGACCTTCGATCACTAAACTTTGATTCAAATGCTAACCAGAAATGCCTGCATGCCCAGGCCCAGATTTTTAGAATTGTCCTTTGTATCCACGGTGAGCTGCAGAACACAAACCCAGCAGACAGCACCTAATGGTGCCACCGAGTAACCATATTCCCATTGCTAGTTTTGATTCCAGGAGACCCAAGTGACCCCACCTGAGACCAAACAGGCGCAGGGATAGATGCAAGGAGCATCTCGGTGAACTTCTAGAAGCAACTGTCTCTCTCCCACCAGAACATAAGCTAAGAAGCAAATAGCTCCCACTGCTCTCAGCACAGCTGCACAATTAAAAGCAGAACCAGTTTCAGGATGAGGCCAACAAGGTGAACAGTGCAGGAGAACACAGCAAGGATCTCAGTCCTGGAGGAGGCACCTGCAGAACAGAGCCCTTCCAAGCAGAGTGAAGAAGTCTTTCAGAGGCAAAGGCTCCCAGAGAGGGGTTCAGTACCCAGAAGAGTAGATGGACGTGGGCCTGGAGGGGCCAAGCACGACCCCAGAGCCTCCTAAAATTAAGACTCCTGCCCAGTCTTAATTTTATCCCCAAAATGAACTTGTAAGGATTTAATGCTTAGGAGTAACACGGCCAGATACGCATTTTACAAAGACTACTCCAGGGACCATGTCAGGGCAAGGCTGGAAAGCAGAAGAAAAGCTACAGTAATCCAGGCAAGAAATTATAAAGTCTTAAGGTAGCAGCAGAAGGATGAAGAGAGGGAACCCCTAAGAGAAAAATCGACATCCAATGGTACTGATGCGGAAGGTAAGGACGAGAAAGGTCTCAAGACGGCAGCGCAGGCCCCTGCCGTAGTCTGGGAAAGAAAAACTCGTGAAAAGATTAAGGCTCAAGTCCAGGTCTGGGCTGGAACCAGGAGCGCTGGCGGCGCGCGCCCCCCACCCCGTGGCGCCGGCTGAGCCCGCAGGGACCCACACGCCCAGCGCGGGCGCGTGGCGGGATCTGGGCTGGTTCTCCTGGAGTTCGCCCCGCAGGGAGGGCTGCGGTGAAGAGGGCGCACAGTCCCGAGGCGACCCGAGGCGCGGGGCCGCGGCGCCCGCCAGGCAGGCTACACTGAAGGGCGCCCCGAAGACGCGGGGGGCGCGGGGCCCGGGACCAACGGCCGCAACCCCGCCGCGGTCTGGGCACGGAAAGGACGCTGGCTCGGGGATGCGTGAAGGGCGCAGGGGCGGGAGACCCGGGGTCGGGCTCGTCTGAGGGCCGGGCCGGGCGGCGAACCCTCCTAGGCCAGGAGCGCGGAGTCGCGCAGGCCCCACAGCGGCCCTCGGGAGATGGCGGACCCCGGCCCGCTCTCCCCAGCGCAGGTTTCTCACCTGGGTCAGGCGAGGGTCACGCCAAGCCGGCTTCACACCGCGGAAGGGAGCTGCTCCGCGCTTTTATCCCACCGGCCAATCGCACAGCGACTCACACCGATTGACAAGCTCCACGGACCAACCACTTGTGCGTATGGGCGGGACTAAGCCAGCCAGAGTCCAGAAGCCCGCGCTAACGGTTGCTAGGGACGCACCGGCCATTTCCCGCCCCCCCTACGGCGCTTCGGAGGAGCCAAAGGAATAATGGGCGCCTCCGCCCCCGGGCCGGTCAGCGGCGGTTTCCTCCAGTCTCGGGATCAAAATAGGTGAGTATCGCAGAGCTCGCCTCTTGGAGGCCTCTTTCTGAAGGCGGAGGACGCGGGGCGGCTCGCTCATGGGCTGGGCGGCTCCGCAGGGTAGACGAAGCCTGCAGCGTCCGCACTGGGCTGGGAACGGTTTGCAAGGGGAGCGCTGCTGGCGCCCCGGAGCCGGCCAGCTGGCTGGCGGCCCCACCATCGCAAGTGCCCCGCACCTGCCCGCCTGCTCTGAGCATCTAGAGAAGGCGGCATTTCGCATGGGTAAAATCCGCGCCTGGACGCCGGGAGAATGTTGTTGCTCTTGCCGTTTGGCCCATTGTACAGACGCAGCCAGCGAGGCTCGCAAAGCTCAGGGATGCACGTAGGACTGGCCCGCACCTTGCAGCCACGGAAAGATCCGCCTGGCCCGCGGCCCCTCCACGCCTCCGAGGTCGAGACAGTGACATAAGTCAACTCTCGAGCCCAGGGCGTCTCTCCACTCTGCTTACACGTCCACTCCGTCTGCCTGCAGCTACGGCCGGTGCGTCCCGCTCGACTCCCTCTGCTTTCCTTCTCAGCTTCTCTCCTGCAGACTGTTCCGGCGCCGCTGCCTGAAATTACCTGCCCCGGGGGAGGCGCAGCGCGCGGCGCGCGGCGCGCAGCCTCATGACGGAACTACAACTCCCATGAGGCGCTGGGCACACGCAGGCGCGCCGCGGCTGAACTCGCCGCGCCGGAATCCTATTGGCTGGGCCGACTCTGAGGCGGGAGCCCTGATTGGTTGATGGGTCTGAGGCGACAGATTCCGGAAAGGGGAAGAGCAGCCAACATGGCGGCGGAACGCGGCGCGGGGCAGCAACAGTCGCAGGAGATGATGGAGGGTGAGCGGCCCCTGCGGGCGGCGGCCCAAGGGCCGGGCGGGCGGGGGGAGCTGCGGGCCGGAACTGCTCCGTGCCTGAGAGAAACCCCACGTCCCGCCTCCGGCCGCCGCCGCGCGGCCCCCTGACAGCTGACAGCCGGACCCGGGGGAGCGGGGGAGGCTCTGGACCTCGGGGGAGCCCCGGACTGGGGGCGGCAGCGGCCGGGAAGGACCCAGAGCTAGGGGTAGAGCGGCGGCGCGAGGCCAGGCCGGGGGTGGGGCTGAATGGGACGCGGTGGCTCCATTCAGTCCAGTTGGAGCCTCGCCCCGAGCCTCTGAGATTGACAGGCGGGGGAGCCTCCTCGGTCAGCTGACGAGGAAACTGAGGCTCTGGGCGCTGGGATCTACCAGAGTCTGCTCCTTGGTTCGCGTGGTGAGGGTGGAGAAGGGTCTTCTCCTGAAATCGAAAGGACTGTTGTCGAAGGGGTAGCAAGGAACCAGAAGATTTAGTTACACAAGGTGATACCTGTTTTCAAAGCTGTCATAGTTCCAAAAAGTCTAAATTCAACTTTCTTCCTCCTCATTCATTTTGTTAAAAACCAAACAAATAAAAAAAAATGCATATACGTATATGTTATACGTACACATGTATTTATATATAATTCTCTACATATCTGTAGGTACGGTCATACGTACATGTGCAGTATGTGTATAAACATGCGTGCACACACCCACCAACTGGGGAATCAGTTGTGTCATCAAGTGCTTAAGTGCTTTTGGGTCCCATGGTTTGGTGAGGGGTACAGCCCTCCCAGAAGAGCAGTCACTGCCTCATGTGAAAGTGGTAGGGAGGAGGAATGTGGAGCTGGGGAAGGAGGGCGGGTGCAGAAGAAAGGGCTGACATGTTCTGGAGTGGTGAGAGCTGCACAAGCAGGGCCAGCTCTGAGCTGGAGCCTGAAGAATAACTCGAAGGCAACGAGGTTGGGGATAAGGTGAGGGAAAAGAGCAAGAATCACTCAAGATGAAGAAAGCTGCGGTCAGGGGGTGTGGAGGAGAGTTTGACCAAATCATATGTGGTGGGGATGGGGGCGGTGGTGTTAAGGGTCTTGGACTTCATACCCTTGGAGTCTTTTTAAGTAAGAAGTGCCTCTTCATATCCTCCCACTCCCTCTTCAGCTGTTTCCATGTCTTGGTAAATGACAAATATAAAAGCCCGGCTTTTCTCTCTGTCCCACTCCCACCCGTGTCCTATTAGTCAAGGAGCTCTGACTTTTACTTTTAAAAATAATCTCCAAATCTTGGATGCGTCCTCCATTCCCATTGCCAGTACCTTAACTCAGACCTTTGTCATCTCTAGGCTAGATTGATTGTCCCTGCTCCCCAGCCCATCGTCCCCAGCACACCAAAGTCATTTTCTTACATTCTGATCCACTGTCGCATGTTCCAGCCCCTCTGCTGCCCTCAGGCTTCGCTTTGGCCAACCTTCATTAGCTGAGCCTCTCCTAACCTCACAGCACTCCTCTTCCTGGGGTTTTTGCACCAGGTTGTCATGCAATAAGAACTTTCTCTCCCTGAGCCTGGGCCACCAAGTGACCTGTACCTGGTGGTGACTAATTTGTTAAATATCTACTGCATGTCATGCGTGTACTAACTGCTCTTGTGCCTTTTCTAATTTAACCCTGACAGCAACTCGCTGAGGCATAGGTTCTATACTAGCTCCCTTCCACAGACTAGGAGATTGAGGCTTTCAAATGGAAATGATTTGCCAAACCTGCATCTCTAGCAGCAAGCTGCAAACTCAGGAAGAGCATTCCAGAAATACTTTTGGACTCAAAGATCGGATTTGGATTTTAGAATTAGATCAGACTCTCTGGCAGTGGAGAATAGGTTAAACAAGGCAAGGCAAGTCGCAGAGAGACGAGTTAGGGGGTAGGGCAGGAGCACAGGCCACAGCTAACAAGTAACTGAGCTACCGTCATTGCGGGGGTAGGGAAGAAGAGATGAATTTGGAGGGTTTGGAGCTGGGTTTTATGAGGACTTGTTTTACACAGCAATCCTTTGTTGGATTTTACTTTGCTAGGCTAAGCAGGAAATACAAAGCTGAAATTGAACTTTTTCCCTCAAAGAGCACATCTCTTTGTAGATAAACCATAGTCAGGAAAGAGACTATTTTCAGTATGGTTGATAATTCCAAGTAATGTGTTAGTGCCTCATGTTTTCCAGACAGACTTCCAAAAGAGGTCATGAATAAAGTTATAAAAAAGAAAAACGATTTGACAACCTTACCAAAGCATTTTTGCCTGACACATTGAATTGCCTTATTCTTTAATTCGAAAAATATTTATGAACATTTAAAAGCTTTGAGTTGCTAACATTCTGTCCAGTGTCCAGTGTGAAAGCTCATTTCACACCAATGAGCTTTCTGTGGGCGGTCAGCACTACTGGCTGTATTCTCCTTTTCCTTAGTGATCCTTCCTGCCCACAATCTGATTTGAGTTAGTGTTGATTTCTTTCAGAACGTGGGCCTGTGAACTTGGCTGGTTTTCTTAGCCAGATCAATAGTAGAGCGTGGATGGAGGTATGTGGCAGAAGAGTCACAGTGGTGGTCACCCAGCCCGAAAGTGAAAGGCACTCAGGAGGTGCTTCACTACCTGGTTCCATTAGTGGATTTAATCACAAGTGATCCAAGGCTTTCAGAACACTGGGCAATTCTTCACAAGCTCCTTGAGGGCAGAAGTAGTGTGTTCCTCCCCTAAGTATCCATGTGGGCTCCACACTCTGCTCCCCATTCTCCCTGCTGCCATATGCCTCAAGTGGTGCTGGGACATGGGAGACACTCAAATGGTTATTGAACTGGATTCAACAAACATGTTTAAATGAAGTCCTTTTGACTTACAACTGAGTGTTTATTATATGTTCCTTAAAGTCCCATAAATTGGATGTGAATTCTCATTGACTTGTGTGGGTTCAGTTGACAGGCGGGTCGAGTCCGAAGAATCTGGCGATGAAGAAGGGAAGAAACACAGCAGTGGCATCGTGGCAGACCTCAGTGAACAGAGCCTGAAGGATGGGGAGGAGCGGGGGGAGGAGGACCCAGAAGGTACCAGGCCCAGCTCCCTTGGGGGACATCTGCTTTTTGGGGGATGTGGGCTGTACTGCGTATGGTCTGTCCCTGGGTGTGGGTGATGTGTGGTCTGGGGAAGGACTGCCGCGCTCCTTAGGGGCCCTCAGTGGGCCAGGGCAGGTGGATGTGCTCTCTGAGGCGCTCCCTCAGCAGGCTGACTCATTGACAGCATTTGCAAAAAGGATGTGGTTTTTTTCCATTTCCACTGAAGGCAAATCCTAGCACGGATATGGGTACTAGTATGCCATCTGGGACAGAACCACGACATTGTTGGCCGGATGTGGTGGCTCATGCCTGTAATCCCAGCACCTTGGGAGGCCGAGGTGGGCAGATCACGAGGTCAGGAGATCGAGCCCATCCTGGCCAACATGGTGAAAACCCGTCTCTACAAAAAATACAAAAATTAGCTGGGCGTGGCAGCGCGTGCCTGTAATCCCAGCTACTCAGGTGATTGAGGCAGGAGAATTGCTTGAACCCAGGAGGCAGAGGTTGCAGTGAGCCGAGAACGCACCACTGCACTCTGGCCTGGGTGACAGAGGGAGACTTCGTCTCAAAAAAAAAAAAAAAAGAACCACATTATTGTTTTATTAACCATATGTTTAGGAAGCCAGATTTGAAATAAACGTTATGGCTGACTGCTATGTTTCCGTGTCCTACCATAGCAATAGAAACCTTTAATCTCTTCAGAGAAATTATTTCTGAGTCTTGCCTTACCATTTTTATAGGCCTAAGGATTGACTTCTAAAGTGCCTAAATGTGGCCAGGCATGGCTCCCGCCTGTAATCCTAGCACTTTGGGAGGCCAAGGCGGTTGGATCACTTGAGGTCAGGAGTTCAAGACCAGCCTGGCCAATATGGTGAAACCCTGTCTCTACTAAAAATACAAAAAAAAAAAAAAAAAATTAGCCAGGCATGGTGGTGTGCACCTGTAGTCCCAGCTACTTGGGAGGCTGAGACAGGAGAATTGCTTGAACCCAGGAGGCAGAGGTTGCAGTGAGCTGAGATCACACCACTGCACTCCAGCCCAGGCGACAGAATCAGATTCTGTCTCAAAAAAAAAAAGCAAGTTTCTGAACAGTATGCGTGCACGTATGTACTTTTACCTGCTAAAGAAAGAAAACACATCAAACGAGCTGAGTCTGTCCAAACAGCAGGTTTAAGAAGGATCTATACATTTTGCATTTTCTAGATTTGTATACAATGTATGAATAATCATGCATCCCTTATAAAAATAAAATAAATTTATAAAGAAACCTAATTTTTAAAATAACATTTTGCTCTCTGTGCCAGCAAAGATGTTTGGTAACTATGGCAACCTACTTTTAAGGCAAAAGGAGATTACCACAAAAGTACCAGTTACATTTACTTTGGAACTTCGGAGCTGATATTCTGGAAGTGATGTGGGTGGAATAAAGTGCATGGGAGAGATAGATGGAAGCTTCCGTTATCGCCTGACTTAGTCACCAACAGTGGAGCCGTAGGAGCCCCCGCTATCCCCAGATGGGTGCTGCTGAGACATCGGGTGTTTGTGGAAGACTTGAGAGTTGGCAGAGCAAGCCCTGTGTGCTTTCTTTCCCTGGGTCACTAGCACAGGCTAATGATGTTGTCCTCATGTTCTGTAAGTACCCAGGTGTGGTAATGTGTTACAGATGAGGAGAATGAGACTCTGCAGCTTGTCCAAGGGCACACGGCTACACGGCAGACCAGCTGGCCTGGCCTGGAAAAATCCAAGTTTTTTTCTTTGAGATGATTAGCTGATTATGAGTTTTCTGGGTATACATTTCTAGCCCTTAGAGAAGCCAAGACTTGCTCCTACCTGTGTTTGTTTAAGTCTTAAATTCAATTAAAACAAATTTAATTATGTCACCTGTTACCTTCTACCTATTTTCCCTAAATTATTTTTAAAATATGATGAATATATAATACACTCAGAAGGGCATTCTAGGCTGGAAACCTTGTTCCAGAGATTAGCTGACATTTTGAGTGGTGAGCGGCCAGCCATGCTGGATGTATTACAAACAGGACCCCTTAAAGCCGTGTGACCATGTGTCCTGAGGAGCCTGGCACAGCCCGTTTCTGCCTGCTGGCCCGGCATAACTGCGCCCTTCTGCTCTCAAAGGGTCCTGGTTTGGACCACAGGACCTGGGCACCCTGCCTTAATTGTAGTGCCTCTTCCAGTGCAACTTCCTGAGCTTATGAACTTGACACTGTCTTTTGGGGTGATTTGTATCTATCTCTTGGTTTTGCCCAGTTCCTTTTATTTAATTCTTAGGTTGGTTGGTATCCTGTACAGTTGTGGATAAACTATAGTAAACTTTTTTTTTAACTAACCACAGTTGATGGTTATAGAAAAGGCATAGTGGAAAAACTGAAGTGAATGCAGCCATGTTGGATCATTACTTTGTTAAGCTGGTCTGATGTCAAGTACTCCTCTCAGAGGCCTCCAGGTGAGGTGAGGAGCCAGCCCTTAGCCTGTGGTCCAGGGCTGTGTGAGCTCACTCCGCTGCAGAAGCAAGTGCACGTTTGCTCTAGAAAGAGCCACAGTGAGAGCGCTGACAGCCCTGTAAGGTAGTGACAGTGACAATCCATTTACAGGAGAAAGAGCATCCTATGGGTATAATTCACAGAATCCAGACTGGGAGAAGCACTACAAGACAAGCTTGTGTTCCTACAACAGAAAACTACAAGGGGAAAAAAGTTTAAGAAAAATGCTGGGCTGGGTGCAGTGTCTCGTGCCTATAATCCTAGCACTTTGGGAGGCCAAGGTGGGAGGTTCACTTGAGGCTCGGTGTTCCAGACCAGCCTGGGCAACATAGCGAGACCCTGACTGTACAAAACATGGTTTTAAAAAATTTGCCGGGCATGGTGGCTCACACCTGTAGTCGCAGCTTCCTGGGAGCCCAAGACAAGGATCACTTGAGCCCACAAGTTCAAGGCTGCAGTGAGCTATGATCACACCACTGTACTCCAGCCTGAGCAGCAGAGATCCTGTCTCTTAAAAAAAAAAAAATTAATTTAAAAAATTTTTTAAAAAGAGAAATACCATCTAGTCACAATATACAGCCTTATTTGGATCATAATGCAAGTGAACTAAGGGAAGAAATGTTAAGACAGTTGAGGAAATGCGAACACTGACAATCTTTGGTGATACTGAGGAATTACTGTTAATTTTTTTAAGTGTTTTAAGGGGTGAGTGTGCGTGTTTGTGTGTCTGCATGAGTCTGTATACCACTGATGTGCATGCGTGTGTCTGTGTAGTGTGCATATGTGCCTTTGTGTCTTTGTGCATGCGTGTGTGTGTGCATCTGTGTGTGTCTTAGTCCTTTTCAGCACATATGCTGAAGTAGGTTCCAATGAAATGAAACGAGGAAGTGCTTAACAGGGAGTCTGTCGCCTCAGCAGGGAGAGCAGCTCTCTCTGCCTCCGCACAGAGGAGGCCGGCTCCGGTGTGGAGAGTCCTCGTGAAATCCAATGGGCTTCTCTGCTGGAGTGAGTTCATCAGTCTCCCCATTGAGAAGTGTGTTTAAATTATTCAGTGAGCCTCTTTGATCCTATCTGTTGAACTATATTTTGTTTTGTTTTGCTCTTTGCAGAGGGAAGTGTTTGTAGATGCTGGGCCACCTTCCAAAGCGATAAAAGGCCCATCGTAGAGCATCTGATGTGCCCAGCACGATCTAGATTCTAATGGCCTGGTTTATTGCCACAAACAAACAGAGAAAAGCTACGTAGGAGGCGGGCTGCTGCCAGTTCTGCGGCTCTGTGAGTCACGGAAAGGCAGTAGTACTGCCCTGCTCACCTGCACTCAGCTACTTCCTCCCCTCCTTCCCACTAACAGCTTCAAAACACATTTCCCTTCTCAGGAAGTTCAAAGGCACAGATGGATGTTTGGAGACCTTTGCCAATATCTGAATTCAGGGAATTCAGAATGCTTAAAACATCAGTATTGTTGGAGCAGGGTTCACCCTTGCCACATTCTCCAGGTCCTCAGCAAACTTTCCCATTGGTTCCTCCTCAGGATTTGAGCTGGATCTGGGCACCAAACAGCCCCAGACCTCGGCCAGATGCAGCTCTTCACCAGTGCCTCCTGTTAATGGGGTTCTGAACAAACCTCTTTTTCTAATTTTTTTCAGAAGAACATGAGCTGCCTGTGGACATGGAAACCATCAACCTGGACAGAGATGCAGAGGTAATGCCGCCTGCTCAGCCCAGCCTTGAGCATGGTGATGGACCACCTGTCAGGTTATCTTGTATGAGATTAGTAAGTTACTTCCCTAAAGAGGTTGCCTAAGCCTCCCTTGGTTGGATCAGAGTCCTGTGTTCATGTTGTTTTTCTTACCAGTGATTGTTATCCCCATGTCTATTTGACCCTTGAGGATTGTGTGGCAGATGAGATGCCTTTGACTCATACATTCTCTGGGTCTGATGATTACATTATATATGAGGGTCCCAACAGCCGCAGGCTGTGTATGACTGGCCTGGCCGCTGGGCCTCCTGAGCCCCCAGCATGTCTCTGATGGTGATGGGATGGGGTGCATATCCTCAGAGCCTGAGCTTATGTTTTGTGCATACAGGATCTAGGGAATGAGAAAAAGATGTCATGTACCAATCATTTTAAGGGCCAGTTTTACATAAAACTAAGTCATCACTCAACCAAAGAGCCCCCGCGGCACACCTTGTCACCGACACCTGTCTGCTGCAGACCCACCTGGCACTGCCTCCCCCACTGCTGCCCACTCCCAGGCCTCCTCTGATGGCTCCTCTTCTAGGACACAGGTCTCCAGCCACTTTGCTATAGCCGAGTATACATTTCCGCTTTGTTTCAGGATGTTGATTTGAATCACTGTCGCATTGGGAAGATTGAAGGATTTGAGGTACTGAAGAAAGTGAAGGTGAGAGGGACTCTTATGAGGGGACTATGACCCATATCACCTATAGGATGTGGATAAGTCCAGAATCGAGCCATCAGTCCCAAGTTGTGGTCTTTGTCTCAGCCTGTGGGAGGCGTGGCTGCCTCCACCTTGTAGCAGGCCTTTACTGGGAGCACAGCAAGTGTGAGATAGCAGTCGAGGGACTTGAGGCACAGCCCTGGGGCTGGCTCTCCTGAGCTCAGGCGGCCAGTGACCTGTGACTCTGGCCTGCCTCAGTTCTGTGCCTGTGTTCAATTAGGCACTCAGTGAATTTTATGGTCCTCCGTGCATCTCATTTGAATTTGTTTCTCAAAATTGAGCCCACCATAGGTTCTTATGTTCTGCCAGGAAGTGGCAAACACCCATACCCCAGACCAACGCTTCCCTCCTCAACTAGGCCTGCTTGGTGGGGGGCCTGCCTCCTGCTTCCTTTTGGGTTCCTGCCCATCCTCAGGTGTGTCGAGGAATTCTAGCTTAGTGCCCTTGCCCACCTACCTCTCAAAGGTCAGCACCTTTCTAGGAAACAGCAGGAGAATGAAGACACATCCTTCCACCAGAAGGGCCTGTCCTGTGTCCTCCAGTACCAGCTGAGGCCTTCTCGTGGCCTCCCCCGTGCCTGTGTCAATTGTCCTTTTCCCATCCCCCAGACTCTCTGCCTCCGCCAAAATTTAATTAAATGCATTGAGAATCTGGAGGAGCTACAGAGTCTTCGAGAGCTGGATCTTTACGACAACCAGATCAAGAAGATTGAGAATCTGGAGGCGCTAACAGAGCTGGAGTGAGTCATGAGACCCACAGGAGAACAGCATGGTGGGGAGGCCACTGGGTGGGGGTGTCCAGTCTCTCCAGAGCCCACCTCCTGCTGGCTCTTGGCCCTTGAGAGGCTGCCTCTGCCACAGGGTCCTGCCCTGCGTCTGAATCCCAAGTCTCTGCCTGCTATGTTCAGGGCTCCAGGAGGCCACGTTGGCTTCATGCATGTCTTCGGCTTCCTGGACAATCCTGACTTGCAGAGTAAACCTTTGATGGGAAGGCTGCAGTGGGGACTTCTGGAAAAGCCTCCATTCAGGGATGATACTGAGATTGGTCGAGGGGAAAGTTAATCCAGAATTTCCTCTTGCCTTTTGAATCCTCTTTTTTTAAATTAAAAAAAAAAAAAGTGACATTTATAATTTAAGGAGTCAGGTTCTACGCCAGGTGCAGTGGTGCATACCTGTAATGTCAGCGCTTTGGGAGATCAAATTAGGAGGATCACTAGCCCAGAAGTTCGAGATGGCCTGGGCAACATAACAAGACCCTGTCTACAAAAATTAAAATTAAAAAAGAAGGAGCCAGGTCCTAGTTATAACTTTACCTGGATTTCTGCCCTTTGTTGCTCATTCATTTTTGCTTGTTTTGTTTCTAATTCGGTACTTCTCAGGCCCCTTCTGTGTGCAGAGCCTGGTGCAAGGTCCTGTCATGGGCACAGGTGTGAATGAAACAGTTTCTGCCTCAAATACCATCCTGGGAGCCAGGGCATCAGGAGCCTGTAGGCTGTCTCTGGCTTGCTCCGGGCTCCTGGGCAGCCTCCAAATCCCTCATGACAGCATCAGTGTGAGCCAGGCGGCAGCAGGGGCACAGACCGCACCCCCTGCCCCACCCCACCCCACCCTGCCCCGCCCCACAGTGACTGCAGTCCCCTAATGGGGTGCTACCTTTAGGGTGGTTGAATTGTGAGTTCTCTGCAACCTATGCTCATGTAATTTTTTTAAAAACCTGTTTTGGTTGTTCTCAGGATTCTAGATATTTCTTTTAATCTGCTGAGAAACATCGAAGGGGTTGACAAGTTGACACGACTGAAAAAACTCTTCTTGGTCAACAATAAAATCAGTAAAATTGAGAACTTAAGCAACTTACATCAACTACAGATGCTAGAGCTGGGATCTAACCGCATCCGGGTAGGTGCAGACAGCCCTGACTAGTATATTCAGGGAGAGGCAGCTGGCGGGTTGTGTGTGGACTCAGTGGGTGTATGTAGAATGCATAGTGAGTATGCATTTCTTAGGATGCTGTGATTTTTTTCATGAACAAGGAAATTTTTTTTTACTGATACTGGAAGTCAGTATCAGTAAGTCCTGAGTGGTCTAGCCTTTCTTCTGCACATAATTTCAGTTGCTCTTCATCCAAATCATGACCCTAAATCACACCATCCCCAGTTACATTCTGCCTGAGATGAACCAGCCGACCCGCACGCCTTGCTCTTGGGCTTACTCGTGGTGGTCTTCTCTGGCATAAAGTGGTCACTCGAAGTGATGTACATACCAGGGGCTTTAGAAAGCCTCTGGCTGCTGACACACTCCCAAAGGCAGTGCTGAGTTGGGCCTTCCTCCCTGAATGGCTTAATACTCCTGGGACACAGTCCCCAGCAGGATTAGATCTGTTCTCAGGACCCATTTGACCTTGAAAACGTGGGACAGAGTGGAAATAAAAGACTTTGGAAAAGTGATCTGCTGTTCCACAGAAGCAGGATCAAGTCTTCACCAGCTGACTCATAACCACCGTCATGTGCTGAGGGGAATGCGGGAGGGCGTCCCAGGAGGACTGACATTGAAGGTGGATCTGCCAGGCAGAGAGAGGGGAGGGTTCCCGTGGGCAGGCAGGAGGACTTCTGTCAGCCAGAAGAGCATTCAAGCCCCGTGCCTGGCTCCTAATCAGGGTCATGGCACAGAGCCTGTGCTTCCCCCAGCCTTGCTTAGTGGCTTTGGCAGGTGTTTCTGAGCACATCCGACCCTGCCCCATGTTCAAAATGCCCCTCTGTTTGGCTTCTGAAAGTATTACAGCATGCTATGTCTGTCCTGGGCCCTTGAGAGCTTGGACAGGATACAAACCAAGGGAGGCTGGTTTTGGCAAGAGTCTCTTGACAGTTATTGTTAGAGATCTCATGGCCACAAATAGCAAAGCAGCACATTTAAAACTAGAGAGCAGCCCAGATGTCCGCACTTTACTAAGTGTCTGACTGTGGAACTTTCTAGGGGAACAGTGGCTCATCACAAATTAATGCAGACTACAGCCGGTGAGGATGCCCCCGCCCCACCAAGTCCTGCAGTGGTGTGTGGATTAGCACACCATCTTCCAGCCTGGAGTCCCCACCTGGTTAGCAAGCACCTCATCTGGTTCTTTTGTGTCTGCTGAAATATTTAAAGAATGACTTGTTCTGAGAGAGAGTGAACTGACAGAGGAGGGAAACTGAAGTCCAGTCAATAAACAGTCATTAAACATCCTGTTGTAGGCAAGTCACCATGGGGAGATCAGACAGGGCAGCGTGGTCACTGCCTCTGGAGGTTTATGGTTGAATAGAGGAGCACATGATCACAGCAAGGAAGAGTGCTGTAGGCGGGTGTGGAAACTGGGCAAGAGGGGCAGAGTGCTGTGGTGTGAGGGCCCCCCAGGAATCCTAAGTGAGGGTCCCAGGATTTCAAAGACTTAAGGTCAGAGTCCCATACCTCACTTCTGTAGAGACTGAGGCTCTTGGGAGGCCTTTTTTTTTTTTTTTTTTTTTTTTTTTTTTTTGAGACGGAGTCTCGTGCTGTTGCCCGACCTGGAGTACAGTGGCTCAATCTCGGCTCACTGCAAGCTCCGCCTCTCAGGTTCACGCCATTCTCCCTGCCTCAGCCTCCTGAGTGGCTGGAACTACAGGCACCTGCCGCCATGTCCAGCTAATTTTTTTGTATTTTTAGTAGAGACGGGATTTCACTGTGTTAGCCAGGATGGTCTCGATCTCCTGACCTTGTGATCTGCCTGCCTTAGCCTCCAAAAGTGCTGGGGTTACAGGTGTGAGCCACCGCGCCCGGCGGGAGGACATTTTAATGTGTCCGCTCACAAGTTTAGAACTGGAAGGGACTTGGGAATCTGCTGGTGCCTGGGTTCTGAGACTGTTCCTCAGCACCCCAGAAAATCTGAGGGTTGGAAGTGAGCTCAAGACAGTCTTGGACTCGCCACTCTTGTATTCTGCTTTCAAGTAGGATTTGCACCGGAAGTCTTAGCAGATACATCGCTAGCCCCACATCACAGAACTGAAGCCCTGACAGCTCTGCCCCAGTCCAGTCACCTGCTGGCTGCCTGGCGCAGCCCGTCAACTGCAGTACTCATTGCTGTTCTGTCCTTTCCACAGGCAATTGAAAATATTGACACCTTAACCAACCTGGAGAGTTTGTTTTTGGGGAAAAACAAAATTACTAAACTTCAGAACCTGGATGCGCTCACCAACCTGACAGTCCTCAGTATGCAGGTACAGAGCTTCCTGAGCCGCCCGTCCCTGCAAGCCCTGGCAGGGCCAGTGCCGCTGAACACAACCTTAGTTTTTATCCTTCACAATTGGCACTTTGTTTCACTCTTAGTAAACAGTTGAAACATTAGATGTCACAGACTTTATACATACTTGTGCCAAGCAAAAACTTGATTGTCTTATTTATTTATTTCACTTTTTTAGAGACAGGGTCTTTATCTGTCACTCAGGCTGCAGTGCAGTGGTGCTATCATAACTCACTGCAGCCTCCAACTCCTGGGCTCAAGCCAACCTCCCACCTCAGCCTGCCAAGTTGGTAGGACTACAGGCATGCACCAGCACCTTCAGCTAATATTATGTCGAGGGGGTGGGGCATGGAAGAGATGAGGTGTCACTGCGTTGCCTAGGCTGGTCTTGAAGTCTTGACCTCGAGTAATCTTCTTGCCTTGGCCACCCAAAATGCTGGGTTTATAAGCATGAGCCACCACTCCTGGCCTTTTTTTTTTTTTCTTTCTGGAGACAAGGTCTCACTCTGTCATCCAGGCGGGAGTGCACTGACAAGTACATTCATAGCTCACTATAACCTCACACTCCTGGGCTCAAGTAATCCTCCCTCCTCAGCCTGCCAAGTAGCTGGGACTGCAGGTACACACCACCATGCCTGGCTAATTTTTGTATTTTATGTAGAGAAGCGGTTTCCCCATGTTGCCCAGGGTGGTCTTGAACTCCTAGACTCAAGCGAACCTCCTGCCTTGGCCTCCCCAAAAATTTCATTCTTAAGTGCCATGTTTTTGATTTTTTCCACCCGCTGCCCCAGTAGCAGTCCTAGATGGTTTTTAGCCAAAGGGGACTTCTTCAGAAGGTGGAGCTTATTCTAAATTCTAAAGTGTTTGGCTCAATGGTAGAAGCAATTCCTTCCATTACACAGAGAATATCAACCCTATTAGACTTCTGCATTTGGGAGTTGGTAAGCACTTGAGTGTGCCTAGGCTCCTGTTTACCTTTTGTGTTGGAAGCAAATTAGCAGCATTAGACCCTTGAAGCGAGCTGGAACAAAGTGCTCTGGGGACAAGGCCCAGTGTGGTTAGTTGATCCCGTTGACTGACACTGAGGGGCATGTGAAAACCACTCTTAACCCTTGGTGAAGCAGAAGTTTGTCAGGCTTCTTTAAGAAAGTTCTTGGCCTGGTGCAGTGGCTCACACCTGTAATCCCAGCACTTCGGGAGGTCGAGGCAGTCAGATCACCTGAGCCCAGGAGTTCAAGACCAGCCTGGGCAACATAGTGAGAGCTCATCTCTAAAAAACTTAAAAATATAAAAAAGAGTTCTTAGGCCAGGTGTGGTGGCTCATGCTTGTAATCCCAGCCCTTTGAGAGGCCAAGGCGGGCAGTTCATTTAAGGTCAGGAGTTCGAGACCAGCCTGGCCAACGTGGTGAAACCTCATCTCTACTGAAAATACAAAAATTAGCCAGGCATGGTGGCAGGCACCTGTAATCCCCGCTACTCAAGGGGATGAGGCAGGAGAAGTGCTTGAATCCAGAAGGAGGGGGTTGCAATGAGCCAAGGTAGGTCCACCGCACTCCAGCCTGGCAACAAAGCGAGACTCCATCTCAAAAAAAAAAAAAAAAAAGTTATTTGAGTTTAATGTGAGTTGTAGTATGTACTAAAAGAAAGTAGAGGCCGGGCGTGGTGGCTCATGCCTGTAATCCCAGCACTCTGGGAGGCCGAGGCAGGTGGATTACTTGAGGTCAGTAGTTCAAGACCAGCCTGGCCAACGTGGTGCAACCCCCATCTCTACTAAAAATACCAAAATAAATATTAGGTGTGATGGCAGGCGCCTATACTCCCAGCTACTCAGGAGGCTGAGGCAGGAGAATTGCTTGAACCCAGGAGGCAGAGGTTGCAATAAGCCAAGATTTCACCACTGCACTCCAGACTGGGTGACAGAGCGAGAGTCCATCTCAAAAAAAAAAAAAAGAAAAGAAATAGGAAATTATAATCAATTTACTTTAAAATATTCAGGAATTTTTACACTTTAAAATTATTAAATCAGGTAAACCTTCACCAAGTGTATCTTTTAACAATGTGTTTGTTTTTTGTTTGTTGTTTCTTTCTTTTTTTTTTTTTTAAATGGAGCTGTGCTCTTGTTGCCCAGGCTGGAGTGCAGTGCAGTCTCGCCTCACTGCAACCTCAGCCTCCTGGGTTCAAGCGATCCTCCTGCCTCAGCCTCCCAAGGAGCTGAGATTACAGGTGTGCACCACCACACCCAGCTAATTTTTTGTATTTTTAGTAGGAAATCTGGTTTACACGCATGTGGCCAAGGCTGGTCTCAA